TACACAAATTATGTCATATCCTTTGCTTTTGGTTGTTAAAATCACAAATATGATTTGTTTTTTCGTTTGTTAGGATGTGTTAGGATTTGAGATCTTGATTTGGATAATTGGAAATTTTGTTTGGTTTATCTGTCTACTACCTGTTCGATGGAATGCTTAAGGGAACAATATTGGGATAAACTTTTGGCTTAAATTACCTTTTAAAAAAAATACTTTAAAAATATACCGGTTTAAATTACTTTAAAAATATACTTGTGGATTTTTGTTATCTTTCATGGTTTAAATTTTTATGTTTTCTCCTTAAAGTTTCATTTTTCATCATAACATTTCTTTATTTATGTTTTAGTTATAACGCAACATTTGGCCCTTCATCACCTTGATTTGTTTTTCATACTAAGTTCTCTTTGAAAATTATATTTAATGCAAGTTATTACACTAATACCCCAATAATCTCTAATATATGTATAGAATGGTGACAATTATTATTTTTTATTGCAGCTTCTCTTCATATTGATTATCCAATATGTTTTGAGTTCTGGAAGGCTGCTACCGAGAGGATTCAACATTGTGGGGCGTTATAATTCATTACAGAAGGAGATGTGATTTATATGCCTTATTGGGTATTGATGGAAACATTTAATTCTTGCTCACGTAGATCGATAAGTATTTTTACAGTATGTTCTTTAGCGTTATATTATGAACTTTTCTGGTAAAAAAAATATTTTTAGAGTTAAACTTTGAAAAAAAAAATCATATATAACATCCTACTCTTAAAAAATGACTTTTTAAATTATTTTTAGTTGATATGGAAAGTTACATTTTTTGAATATTGAAGCTCATTTAAAGGATTGTTTTTTTGAAAAAAAAAATCATTAATAACATTAAACTTTGCAAAAAAGTACATTAATAGCATTGTAGTTTCAAAAAATAATTTTTTCGTATTTTTTGGCTAATCTAGAAAAGTTTTATTTTTTTGTATGTTAGAGCTCATTAATAGGATTTTTTTGAAAATATTTTGTTATTGGAAAATACATTTTCAATTTATTTCGCATATAGACCATTTATGTAAAAAAAAACATTTCAAATATGGACCATTTATGTACTTTTGTTCAAAAGTGAACCATTTATGTAATATATAAATTTAGATGTTATTTAGTAGGTCATTAATATGACAATTTTCTAGGGAAAATTTGTTTTTAGCATTGAATATGGCAAAAAGAAGTTCATTAACCACATTGTACTTTAAAAAATATATTATTTTGGATTATTTTTAGATGAGATTGAAACGTTTCGTTTTTTCCTGCAGTGAAGCTCATTTGTAGGACAATGTTCTGGAAGCGAATTTCATTAATAGCGTTAAACTTTGCAAAAAATCATTAATAGCATTGTAATTTTAAAAATTTCTTTTTTTTTTAGTTCTTTAACTGCCGGTAGATTCTTTGAATGCCTACCTTGATGAACATATGTGGAGAAATCTTTTTGGAAAAGGATAAAATCCTAATATGGCTACCTGAACAAGAAAAAGAAAAACCCAGTTTTGATTAACACAATTTATTTAAAATCTTTATTCATTTTGGTACCTAACACACCATTTAGATGTTCTCAAAATAGCATATGAAATAAGTTCGAGATGTAATAAAGCTAAAATTTTATTTGACATGTTTTGTACTTTCTAATGATCATTACCAGGGAACCTTTGAAGGATTTTTTTAGCATAAAGAATGTGATCAATATACAAAAAAAGTGTCGCATATTCAGAACCTAATCTTCTTAATTTATTGTAATAAGGTCTTATTGTAACATTTGATTGGCCCTACCTAACTCTCTCATGCAAGGTAATGTATTTATGTTGTTATAAATGTGTTAAAATGCTTCACTTAGGTATTACTTGGCACATGGTCTGCAGACTATCCACATTGATTTCATGATTGAGAAGAAAATATCACATTGACCAAGATCAGATCATCAACCATATTAGTGACCCCACTAAGATTAGCAATCTACTTTAAGTAATCCTCCAAAATAGGCAATGAAATTTGAACTATAGTAAATCTTGAATCAATTCCCAAATTATACATCAAACTTCCAACATTAAACCTTGAGCATTTTCAGTTAATGTTTATCGAGTTGCTATGCATTTGATTATTTAGGTATATCGTGAATTGTTTAGCTTCCCTTGTTGATTTTACTACTTTAACATGTACAAACGATAAATATTTATAATACTTACAAATATGAGATTGTTGTCTTTTCTTTATGAAATATCGAATAGCTATTTTGATAGTAGCGTTTTTGTTTTACAATAATAAGGTTTGAATGACTGGTTTTAAACAATCATTCTGTAAAATCATTTAAAATCCAATACTATTCCTCTTTATACACTAAATTTAGTATTATGTTAATAATGCAAAAATTAAACCATAATTTTTTTGTTTTATTAGTTGTCTTAATTCTAAAATTTATATAATTATTATGTAAATCTAATTACTTATTTAGTTTATTTTAAAATAATTTACATTATAATCATAATTAATTATTTGTGGAATAAAGTAGAATGATAACAATATATTAATTTATTTCGTATTTGTCATATATATATATATATATATATATATATATATATATATATATATATATATATATATATATATATAAATGGGTTCGTGTAAAACAGTACAAATGAGATTAAGAAGTGAAAATGATAAGAACCAATAGGAAATAAGCATGTGTATAAGAGTAGTTATTTTTTATTTCACACGTAATTTGTTGTTTTTTATAATTTTTTTATTTAAAAGGTTATAAATATAATTTATCCATGTAGTTATCTTTTAAGAATTTAACCATCGGTTAAGGTTGATTAGTGGGTTTTCAAATTGATGTAACCGTTTTTCTTAATTTATCGAAGATCTTCGTTTTTGTTATTTCAAAATTTATTCTGACTTTTTCTTTTAAGTTTTCTCTACTAATAGATTATGTATTCAAACATTATTCAACATAATGTTTGCGTTTAAAGCATTCTTAGATGCGAAAGTTAACAGGAATAGGCTAAGTTCGCATTCAAAAGTCATGAAGAAATTTCCAATTGCATCACAGAAAATGGTTACCAGGAAGAAGGATTATTTAAATGAGAATGTTGATAAAGTTGATTTTATGGTTAATTCTCGTGATCATCCTATCGAAATAGATGATGATGAAGTATCAGAAGAAAAATAATTTCCATCTGGTGAAGTTAAGAAGGAGAGTAAGTTATTTTGTTTTGTTGTTAATGTTTTTCAAAATGACATTTTTTGGATTTTTTTCGGTTTGATTTTCTTCTGCCTGTATGTTTAGATAATGAGAGTCCAATTGAGATTAATTCTAGTAATTCTATAAAGAAGACAATTGACATTTCATCTAGTAATTCTTGGAAGAAGAAAAAGCCAAGGAATAATGTTTATTAGTATGTGTATAGTTTAATGAAAAAGAGAAAACGTGGTTTGTTTGGTCGATTAAACTAAAAATCATCTGATACAGAAGGTTAGTTATCTTAATTTTGTTATTCTTTAAATTAATTATTAATTTAGATTTTAATATAGTTTTTTTGTTGTACATAATTTATATTATTTAAGTGATTCTGATTTTGAAGTTCGGAGCATTACAAGGAGCGGGAAGTTGGTTAACAGAAGTGATAAAAAATTTAGTAAAAGAATTGTCTACGAACATGGTAAACTTAACTATAACGTTATTTATTTATTTTGTTGTGTATTTATTGATTTTGTTATATTAATTTTTTTTATATTATTTTAAAAGGTTTATATATTGATTATTTTGTTGTAGACTTTTCTAGTGATTCTGACTTTGAGGATGATACCAGTAGTAGTGTGAAGAGGGTGGATAAGATAGCTGATAAGAAAGTTAAAAAAATGGATTTGAATTGTGCTAAAATAAAATCATTGTATTCTCGTGCTTCTCTTCATTCTATATATGGTGTTGTGAATTCAATGAATCATAATAAAAAAAGATTGTGTGAGGAGTTTGGGGTTTGGATCATTGCTAGACATGAAGACTCAAAGTATTCCAGCAAAATTATGTTATTTTGTTGTTGATTCTTTTGATCCTTTAGAGATGGTTATTAAAACTGAGGTTTCTAATATTTTGGTTATAAGGGAAGATGTTAATAGGGTGTTAGGTTTGCCTATGGGGGTTGATCAGTTAAATAGTGTTGATGTAAGAGGTAATGAGGAATGGTATGAGATATGGAAAGATCAATTCAAGAAGTAGTTGTCTTTAATTACTCCAAATGATCTTGTGTACAAGATAATAGAACGTTGTGAAGCAGATATGGTGTTTCTTGCTAATTTTATTATTCTTGTTTGTACATATTTTGGATCATGTAACAAACAAGGTGCATGCAATTTGAAGCTTCTACCGTATTTGTCTCAATCATATAAGTTAGATAAGTTTGATTGGTGTACATATGTATTAAATTGTGTAAAAGAGGAAAAGTTGATTTGGAGCAGAAGTGATATTAAGACTTTCTTCAATGGTCCTAGTGTTTTTTTAACGGTATGTCATTTAATGTTTTTTGATTAAATATTTTTAAAATATAAATAATATTTATATAGTTATTAACTTTTTTTTTGTAGTTGCTATATGTTGATAGGATTCAATGTAGGCAAATGTTAATGGTTAGAAGATATCCAATAATTAATAATTGGACTTTAGAGCAGTTGAAAGTGAGAGAAATAAATGAAATTTCGAATTGAGGTTTTGGAAGACCGTCTAATACAGTGAAGAGTGTTGATGAAGTTTCTAGAGGATCAATTTTAGCAAGTAATTTTAATTGTGTATATTTGATGATGATCATGATTTATTTGGTTTGTATTTTGATTTTGTTAAAAAAATATTGCTGTCAAATGAGTTTGATATTGATTATTTATATTTACGTTTAAATTTTCAGATTTGGATATTAATTATAAATTGCTATATTTTTTTGTTGTTATTAGGAATTTCATTCAGAAATGAAGTGGTGTTTAGTAGATATGTCTAAGAAACTGGATAAAGCTTTTAAAAAGCATGGAAATCTGAAAATAATAGAGTTCTATGGCTTGAAGGTGAAAGAGTTATATTCTGCAAATAAAGCTTTTTGTCATAGTAATTCAAAATGTGAATATACTTCTAAGTCTTGTGAAAAAAGCAGTAGTTGTGATGATAAGTTTGCCGAATTTCGAGATATTGAGCAATCTATTAACAACAACGTTGGTTTTAATAAATATGGAGTGGCTAATGAGTTTGGCAAATCTGGATGTATTGAAACTAAGTTGAATGTGCATTGTGAGGGTGGTCATAAGGAAAAGTGTTTAGATGAGGGTATTCCTTCTTTTAATTTAGGAATTGAGGATGACATCTATACTCCTCCAAAAGTGAATGCAGGTGTTGATAGTTATATTAGTAATAATTCTGTTTCTGTTGGAATAAGTTTTGCTTCAGTTAAAGGAAATGTAATTAAGTCTCATGATAGAAGTGAAAAAGTTAAAATACTTGAAAATGATATGATCTCATCGAGACCAAAGAGAAGTCAAACGTTACCTCCGGTGCTTAGGTCTCCATTTGTTGTACGAACTGTTGAGATTGATAGTAATTTGACGAAGGAGGAGAATATCAAGTCCAATTGGCTCTTCATCTTATATGGAAATCCAACGTAATGTGTTTGTGTGTGTGTGTGTGTGTATATATATATATATATAAGGAATATTAAATTAAATGTATTTTATTTTTATTTTAATAGGGATGATCTTTTTCATAGCATAAATGGTCAACGTGGGGAAAGATACATGTTTGAGAGCTTATATCCGGGATAATTTCTTTTTTCTGGGACTATTGATTGTTTTGTTGAAGTGTTGAACTATGATGAGAGAGCCAGGAATTTGGACACTCCTTCATGTTTCTTCTTTAAGACAACAGTATTGGTACGTATAGTAATTGTCAATTATTGTTTTTATATTATTATGATGTTAATTAAATTGTTGTTTTGTATTTAGGATATTGCATACATGCATAGTGAAGCATGTAAATATGAAGATGTGTACCAGAATTTTAAAGAAAATGTTTTTCATTGTTTGGGAGAGTCTAAAGACCGAAGAAATTTAAAAGGAATTGATTTGGTAATGTCACACCCTCGAACCAGACGGCGGAAATGTCCGAGGGCTATTGTGACTCAATTGAATACCATCACCATGAATATACATGAAACATAACATCATACAATACCAAGCATTGGAATATTACAATTGCTAGCGTTTACATTTGGTACATTGATCCATAATATTACATGCCCAAAAGTAAATTGTTCGGTACTAATTAAAACAACAGCAAAACGTTACTGAGTACATTTCTTTTTCCTTTTCGATTTACCTGTTACCTGAGAATACAAGTATTTTGAAAAAAAGCGTCAACATATGAAATGTTGGTGAGTTCATAAGTATTGTTTGAAATAAGGTGGTTTGTATTGTTTTGAAAATCACCAGAAAATCCGATATTTTCTGAAAAGAACTTAGTATAAAAAGTGTGAAGATCCGTAAGTATGCTTGTTTGTTTCTATAAATGTAAAAGTACAATTTGTAAAACTCGGTATGTACTCGTAGGTGTGTTAATTGAAAACCCTAGGAAAACCCGGTGTTTTCCTAATATTTTGCATTAATGAATTGTATCTTGTTATTTCATTACTACGGGTGTATTCGTTGAGTCCCGGTGACGTTGGATTAATTATAGGTTGTGAATTGTTATAAACACACATTAATGAAAATGACTAGTTTACAACCATGCAAACGATCCCTTAGGGGTCGCTCGCACTATTCACTTAATCCAATCACCCGGACTTCGTGTAGCCCCACAACCGAGGAGGAAAAGAGGGTGCGAAGTCCCGATATTTTCCGTAAGTCGTTCAAGGCTATCGTGAATGCGAAGGGCCCTTAGCCCGACTCGCATTTGGTGAATTCTCGACTTTACTAGCAGCACCAGAAGGCCCTTGGGGTCCAACAACGCAAAGCCTGTAAAAGTCCTTTTACACGAAATTAGGTCATATAAGACCCATTTACAGTAAGCGAGTTTCCTTCGGGCCTAAAGATCATGCCATTGGGCTAGCTAGGCCCAACAACCATGATTTGAAACTTTTGAGCCCAAAGATGGTGTATCGACGTCTGGTGTATTCTCACGTGTGTATTGACTTCCCGAAATTTCCGCGTGTGTATTGAAGTTTCGTCGTGTTAGTAATTTCGGATTCGCTATTGATTCGAGACCGAATTAATTCGTTTGATAACGATTTTTGGTGTTGAAGGTGTATTATAATTTGCCGATAGTCAAGGTGCTAGTATTTCATCATGACGAATTTATTTCTTAAAACATTAGGATGTTTCATTATTGCAGCCCCTTTCCTTTAGATAATTTTACACATTTAACCCTTTGTATAAAATAAATTTCTATTTTTAGTCCTCAAACCATTTTTCTTGACACTTTAGCATAAAAACTTGTGGAAAAGTTATTTTTCAGCCAAAAGTTATTTGAAAAGCAGTTTTAGTCCACCAAATGAAATTTTTCTCGGCTAAAACCCTTATTTTCGCAATTTTTACACTTTTGGCCCAAAATAGAAATTTTTTGCATCTTTGGTCCCTTTTAAATATGAATAGCATTTTTAACCCTTGAAATGGACTTAGAGCACTAGGAGTCCCCTGTTTTATAGAAAAATACAGTTTCAGCCCCTCTAAATTGAAAATCTCGCATATTGGGCTTTATTGGGCCGAAAAATTCATTTTTGGCCCATTATGCTTAAAAATTTCACATTTAATCCTCCAAAGAGAATATTTCCAGAAAAATACCTTATTGAAACTGTTTTGACTCATTTCATTCATCAAAATTTGTATTTTGTCATTTTGGGCCCTTTAACTTCATATTTTTAACATTTTGAGTCCAAAAATGGGATTTTTAGCCCAATGAGTTCATTTTAACCAACTTGGTTATTTTTCTAGAAATGATTTGTGTGTAGTAATATGTTTAACACTTGTTTCATACATCCTAATGCAAATCTCGATTTTTAAGGTCTTTTGACTAGTTTCAACACCATAATCACATATAGACATGTAAATAAGCATAGAAATCATACGAAGCATACATATACTCATAGATCCACACATTTGCTTGTATTCCCCCCCCCCCACAAAACCTATAAAAAACCAAAAAATAGGGGGTATGAAGCTCACCTTGAGTTAGGTTTTGGTTTTGGAGAAGATTGGAGGAAGTTTGATGTTGTTTTCGGCTCTAATAAGTCTTCCCTTGTTGATTTCGAACTTAGGGAGTTTCTAAGAGAGTGATCATGATTTTTGCATGGATTAGAAAGAGATTTTTGATAAAACAAAGAATCTAGATCATAGATCCAATCATAATCTTACCTTAGATGAAGAATTTGTGGAAATATCTTCTTGAAAAACCTTCTAAAATTCGAGATCTTGATGAAGAGTGGAGGGAGTTTCCTTGAGAGGTTTGTGAGAGAATTGTGTGTGTGTGTGTGTTTGAAATCGGCCGAGAATGAGAGAGAGAGGAAGAAGTAGACCTTGAGGTGATATATGCATGGAAGTATGAGATATGTTGCATGGAGGACCAAGAGGTAATAATGAGGTGGCAATTGAAAGTCAACCCTCCTCCATGTTGGGTTGTGAGGTCGAGAAGTGAAGAAGGAAAGGGAGAATATTGGGCTTCTTATGTTTAAGCCCATATTAGAGTTAAGGTTAATGATTGTTGGCCCTATAAAATATAAGTGTGATTTTTATACTTTGTTGGGCTAGTTAAGTTAATTATGGTTCATAATGGTTCATAATATTTAATTTATTTCATTCTAGGACCAATGTGGCCCAAAATGTTGGAATAAATGAAAGTGAGTCCAATTAGAGCCCATTTAAAGGTTCTAAGCCCATGATAGTCAAATTGGAAGCTTATTGGTCCTTTGAGTCCAATAAGGAAGTCCTAGTCCAAAGTGGACCTAAACAAGAACTTCTAGGGTTTCCAATTACTTGATGACTATTTGTAATACTTGTATGGTGTATTTGATTGAAAATTTTGATGTCATAGAGTAAGCATCTTACATGCTTTTATGTTTTTGATTCTACATTTTACTTGAATGTAATGATTACAAGACACAAAATTTCTAGTTGTGACAGGTAAGTTTGGATTTTCTTTGTAAATTTTATTCCTTTTTTGTTTATATCTAATTGTGTATATGATTATTTTTATTTAGGTGTTCTTTCATGCATGTGCAAACAGTCACTATTTTGTGTTTGTTATTTTAAAAACCGCAAAACTGTCATACTGGACAACATATTATATAGATCTTCTGAAAATCAATACCCACATCTAACTCAAAATCTGGTAAGTTTGTTTGGTTTTGTGTTTATTTTAAATGTTTTATTTATATTCATAATTTTTTTATAATGGATATTGATTTTTTGTTTATTTTTTAATGCAGAAATATATGTTTGGTAGATATCTTCAAGAGATAAAACATTTTATGGCTTTTTCAGTCATATATGAAATGGAATTTGTTGATCAGTATATGACGTGGAAAACAAGAGGTAACAGTAATGATCGTGGGATTTTTTTTGATGCATCATATGGAAACTTATAAGGGAGGTCCTTTAGCTCAATGGACATGTGGGTTTAAAATGGAAAGTGTTGAGCAGATCATGCAACTGAGAAATCTTCGAAGAAGATATTCCATGAAAATTCTATTGAGTGAAGTGAATCTAATGAAACATGAAGTTGAGCAACTTTTTGTTGATTATCAAAAGCTTTCTGCAAATGATAGGCGTGTAATGTATCATGAAGGTATTATCAATATAGCAGCTCGGTTAGCTGCATTTGGTCCTTGATATATGTTTGTTGAAGTAAACATCAAGTGGTTAGTTTTATGTAGTAGTCTTCATAGTAATGGTTAGGAATGAGTAAGTAGAATAATTTGTTTTGAAGTATTTTATATGTATGTTGGTTTTTGTTTGGTTTTATTACGTTTGAAGTTAATGTACTTCTACAAACATAAGTTTATAATAATCAAGGAAAAGTATGACAACGTTTTTTTGAATTTGATATTGCTTGTTTATGTATAATCATATTTAAAATTAACATATTCACAATCATATAATATATTAACATATTAACAAACATCATATCTAAAATTTTCAGATTAACATATTCACAATCATATATAATATTAACATACTAACAACCATCATCCATAATATTTATAAATATATTACAATCATCCCAAAAGTTAGAGCACATCAACATATTATATAAAGTCACACATAAACAAAATAAACTTTCAAATATTCATAATAACACCACTTCCTGAAACCCAAAAACCCAAATACCCAAAATCCCACCTTTCACCTTGCAGCTTCATCTACTTCCCCATAAGATTCACTTGAAACTTGGTGTAATCCAAAGCTTCAATGAGTTTGTCAACATTTATCCAAAAGCTTAATTTGTCAAAAAGTATGATCCTAGCTTCCCAAACAGTAACTTTTGGATTTAATGCAACCATTGAACATAGTAGCGTGCACAGATAACTGTTGGTTGCAAAGTTTAATGTTTTTGGGAAGAAGGTTGTAACAATGGTTTGATTATGCTCCATATAAATTTGTTGAACACAAAAAAACCATTTGTTTTAACTTTTTTGACAAAGTTCAAGAAATCGTTCCAACTTTCAAGCTTGTTTAGACCAACGTCTAATGGAGCAAATGAGACTAAAGAGTATGAAAATGTTCTGTCAACATCATAACCAAATGAACTTAAGATGGTATGAAATACCTCTGTAGAGAAAGTTTCAACGTCGATGAAGTCTATATAGTCAATGATGCCTCCAATGTAATCTCGATTTGGGTAGTAGAGGAAACTACCTCCATGGTTTAGCATGATTGAGAAGTACTTTTTGTTTTCCCATCCTGAATGAAGGTTGAAAATAAGATTATATAAGTTTTAGTATTATAAGATTTTAACAATAAGGAACATACCATATAGGTTGTAAAGATCAAGATAAGCCGAGGAATTGCGAACTTCCCAAATCGACGATTCTGAAGCCATCACTGGAAATTGTAGTTTTGTTTAAGTTTATTATGATGTTGAGGAGGAATATTTAGCAGTAGAAATTGTAGTTAGTAGAAGAGGTAATTAATTTTCTATCATCATTTGCTTCAAGAACTGTTGTAGCCTAATTTGGCGGTTGTAGGTTTAGGTAATAATGCTATCTATACATGCAAAATGATAATGCTTATCTTGTTATAATTTGATTTTTTTTTTTGGTTTTTAAAAAACGAATAGGTATATGTTTTATTTTTTTTGAAGTTGATTTAAAAAAAAAACAAGTTTTTTTTTTTTTTTTTTTTTTTTTTTTTTTTTGTATATAATGATTAGATCATAGTCTTGTTATTATTAATATTAGTTGAATATGTTTTTATGTGAAAAGATTGTTTGTATTTGTTGAAATTAAGTCGATTTGACTTTTGTAATTATGAGTCTTTATATTTTTTTAATTATTAATTCTAAATAGATTTAAGTGATATGTGAAAGATTTTATGAGGTAATAAAGTATCATATATTATATTGTTCAAATGTATATATTTAATTAAAAAAGATTAATTTGTGAAAGAGTTGTTGATTAATTGAACTATTGTTAACATATTTCTTAGGTGATATGCGGCATATATATGTGTAAAGTTTTATTTTTTTTATTTTATTTTTTTTTCATTTTTCATAAATATTAATTTTATTGGAATAGTAATTTATCATTACTAAAGATTTATGTAATATTAAAAAATTATGGATTATTAAAGAATTCAATTTTTTTAATATATTGTTATTTTTTTCAAAAAGTATTTATGCAATATTAAGGAAGAACGGAATGTTTGTAGTTTTAAAACTAATAAATATATATTGCATTATTTCGTTCGCATTAGATTTAATCTTTTTAAGTAAAATAATAGTGAATGTTTAGTTGATGATTTGAAATAGTCTTAACATATATTTCGGAAGATTTGCGGCATATATGTGTGTAAATTTTTTGAAATAGTCTTAACATAAATTTCGATCATATCTACAATTGTAATGTCGATTGAAGCACTTTTTATTTGTGCTTTGTATTATTTTTTCTTATAATAAATTCATATATGGTTTTATATATGAAAGTGAAACCATAAAATATTACATTATTCATAATTAATATTAAAATAAACTTCAAAATCATTTCAAGCTTTTAATACTAAGAGTTTTAATATAGAAAAGCATAAGCACATACACAACTAAAATTATAATATAAGTTACTGTTATTTTTTGAAAGGCTTCAGCACATTTGAAGGATTTATTGGGCAATTTCTTAGATCATGGTTGACTAATTGCTTGCATCCTTTGCATGCGCGTTTTGGTTTAAGTGATTTAGCTATTGCTTTTTCTGCTGCACTTTTGATTCGATTCCTCTTTCCACTTCCTTTTGTTTTTATCCCACTTGGTACTTTGATTTTCACATCAGTTGAAATTGGAACTCCAATGATATTTTCAACAACATATTTTATTGGAATTGAACTTGATTTAGAAGCAACATCCTTTCCACAAGTTTCACTTAATTGTTGAAGAGAGTTCACCAATTCTTGTAATTTTTCTTTGTCATGAATAACCGATTCAATGCATTTCTCATAAAAAGAAGTAGCATCCTATAAGAGATTTGAAATTTCTGTATTGCACACTCTCCATTTTCGGTTTATCTTTTGAAAACCAATATCCACTATGTTCTTTCTCTATCTATTCAAAATGTATTTTTCAGGTATCATGGCAATGTTATAATCTATAAGAACTCTAAAAGCATGACTACAAAGGATTCCAAAAAATGTGAAATGCAAACATTCACATTCAATTGTTTCATCTTTTGCATCAAAAGAAACCTGAAAGATAATAATAAAATGTCATTATAGTAATATTATTATAAAGTCAAACTAATGTTTAATTAAAATAATCATTAAGTAGCATATTTCCATACCTTAAATTCTGGTCGTTTGCCTAACTTGATTTCTTTGTAGAGAATTGTGCATTGTTGATGACCATCAATCGAAACAGAATTGTTTTGAAAACACTGATAGAATGCCTTTTTTATTTGTTTATGCACTTTAACGAATGCTTCTCGTGTGTATACCAATGATGCATGCTTTTCAATTTTCAAATTTTCATGTGGAAATAACAATTGTGGAGAAGTATCTCTTGATGCAATATCTAATCTTTTTTGCTCATGACATTGCTTTGAAAGTGTAGTGTCAAAATTGAGCATAAAATTCACAAGTAAGTTGGTTGGAATTGAGAAAACATTGAAAAATGAATTTGAACTTTCAGATCGAGATGTAGTCTTCATAAGTCCACACATTTGTATGTCTCTGAAATAGGAGGGAATCCATTTGTCTCTCTTGTTGAACATATCAACTAACCATTTATTATCCTTCAAATGAAATTCATGCAACATCAAATCCCATTTGTTCTCAAATTCTGATGGTTCAATATTCATATTATAAACTAGTTGATTTATACGTTTCTTGAAATCTGAATTTGAAACTACATCAGGTTCAATCTATCATGTAAAATTTGTTTTTATTAATATATTTTCATAAGCTATTTTTAATTCAATAAATTAATTTATTTGTTACCCTTGATGGCATTTTTGACATTATGTGCCACATACATAATCTATGAGTACATCCTTGAAACACCTTTGCTATGGAAGAAGATAATGCTGCATCCATATCTGACAGAATCATTGTTGGTTTCTTCTTATGTGATGACAAAAAAGCTTCTAATAACCTAGTGTATGATTCAATTGTTTCATCTGATATTAGTCCTGCTCCAACATTGATTGTCTTTTCATGGTTGTTTATAGCAGTGAAAGGAACAAATATCACATTGTACCTGAAAATATTTGTAAAATGTATCCCTTATTGTATAATGTAATGTAATAAATATAAATTTTACCTGTTTGTTCTATATGTTGCATCCATTGATATAACATCAGAAAACTTGGAGTAGTTTTCTTTTCCTGTTTCATCAACCCAAAACATAGCATTTAGCACATCATCTTCCAACTTATATTCAAAATGGAAATTTTGATAATTATCTCTGTGAATTATCAACTGGTCTACAACACATTGAGCATCATTTGGTCCAACAATATTGGTATAATCTCTCCAAAAGTTTTTGAAATCATTCTTTGTTGCTAGCAAATTATCATATCCTCCCTTTAATGATGCTCTTATCTTGTGTGCTTTTGTGGCACCAATGTTGATAGTTGAAGCTTTAACAATTAGTTATCGATCAAAAATACTAAAACGATGATGTGGAGAGCAGATGCTTTCTTCATTAAATTCTGTAAGTGGATGGTTATGTGCTTCTTCAAATGCATATACAGTAATTGTATTTGTTGCAGCATTTCTATCAAAACCAATCATAGCCATACATCCTGTGACTTTAGAATATGATTTCCTTTCCTGTTTTTTTCAGTCTTTTGGATGTAAGAGTATCAATGTTTTTTTTTTTGGATTTCCATATCTGTTGCATCTTACTTGTTTTTTCCTTAGACTGTTTCACCATATGAGGTTGTTGTTCCTAATCTAATTCCAAAACCAACTGCTTTTGCATAATTTCTATACATTTCAATTCCTTCATTTACACTTGACACAATTTGTCCTTTTTTAGGAATCAAATCTGTAGCAACATGTGGAATGTACAAATCATCTTGATTTATATAAGATGTTCCTGTGCAATATTCAAAAAGCTTAATATTGACTTATAGTAAATATGTTTATAATTATTTATTTAATATAAAGTATGTAAACATGCCTTTATCCTTTTCCTTTGCTGTCGAACTTGTAGTTCCTTTAGAAGGTTGAATGTAAGATTCAGTTTCTTCATTTAAAGAATTATTAGTAATGTTGAATATAGTTTAGTAATGTAAGTCAAATTTAAATAATGAATAATAACATCAGAAATATACTTCTTATAATTTATTAAAACTTGCCTTTATCACCATCATTGCATGTTGATTTTGAATGTCCAATAGTTAAAACATTGTATGAGTCTTCCGATTCATGATTGCCTGTCGAATATTCAGAAAGATTAATATTGAAATAAGTATGTATATGTATATGTAAACATGCGATTATGTTTAATTTTATTTTTTGTGGATCCTGAACTTCCTTTTGAAGGTTGAATGCAGGTTTCAGTAACATTGTTAAAAGAAATTTATTGAATTTTTAATATAGTGTAGTAATGTTAGTGAAATCTAAATTTTGAATATTAAAATCTCAAATATAGTAATTATAATGACTGGAAACTTGCCTTTATCACCATCGTTTAATGTTGATATTGAAGTTCCGATAGTTAAATCATTAGAAGATTCAATTGCTTTATGAATTAAATAAGTAGAAAAAATCTGTTCATATTCTTTAGTAGACATCTCTTCATTTTGATATCGTAATGAAATTAATCAATGATTTTAATGCATATGATTTCATCGATCATAATCAGACTGAAGAACTTAATTTGAAATTAATATGTCATTTTTTGTTTGCGGTTATTAATATGAACAACTTATTTAATCCCGTTTTTACGTTAATTACTTTCTTACCCTTTATTAATAATTTTAAGTAAACAATTGAAGAAAACATGAATAATGATGTGGCATTATCTGATTGGTTCCTGCATTTTCACATATTGTTTGCATTTTTGCATGAAGCTTCCCCTATATATATATATATATATATATATATATATATATATATATATATATATATATATATATATATATATATATATATATATATATATGGTTAGGATTAAATGTGAATGATATATATTGTGTGAGTGTATGATAAGTTTTGAACCATTAGATTTAGATGTGTATATGGCTAAGATTATATGTACCATAGTTACAATGGAACACAACACACATGAACATTTCTTTTTAATAAAAAATCAATATATATATATATATATATATATATATATATATATATATATATATATATATATATATATATATATTGGGTTAGGATTAAATGTGAATAAGTTTTGGACCATTAGATTTAGATGTGTATATGGCTAAGATTATATGGTGTACCATAGTTACAATGGAACACAATACACATAAACAATTATTTTTAATAAAAAATCAAAAATAATTATTATAAAGGCATAATTTATAGTTTGATTAATTCTCAATAAGGAATGTATTAAATGAATTTCTATAACCGATCGCAACCTCATTGAATTTTTGTAAAAAGAAAAGTTTAATATTATCCATGCATTCTTTAAGAATACAACATAATATACTCCGCATATTTAAATTCTTTAAGAATAACTTCATCATTTAGCATGATTAAATTTATTAATACCATAAATTGGAGTATATTCTTTTAGAATGAGTGCTAACTTCGTTCTTGTATTTCATTTTTGTTTATTATTGTTTGTGTATTCTTTAAAAATATGGTATAGTACAACATATATTATCGAAAATAATAGTTTGAATAAAAAAATCATTCTTATTGCAATATTGACATATTCTCTCAACAATCATTTAAAAAGTAATACAAATGAGGATGAAATTCTTCTTGAAATATGTCTTCTATATTATAGATAAAAAAATTTGACAAATACATTTATGTGATAATGAAGTATATCTCATTTAAGAATGTACAGGGCGGCCAATAACAAAAATATTTTCACCAAACAAACCTATAATATAAATCATTCTCGAAGAATACATGAGAATGACAATCTATGAGAATGAGATTCTTAAAGAATGATTTCCATGAAATCCAACTTTTCGTATTGCCTTTATATATTTGTTGTCGTCCTCTTTTTTTCCAAGTGCTCCTGATCATCCCCTTTACATAAAAAAAATGCAGTCATCACTTTTTGAGAAGACCTAACAAATCGATAAAAGATGACTAGAGACAGTTAAATCAAAATATGAAACAAAAAAAAATGGATTCAACAAAAAAAAATTAAGAAGGTATTAAAAAATACTTGACATTCGACACCATCACATACTACGTTTTAACATTTTAACAATTTCATACCTTTTATGATTATGTTCTTCACAATCATATACTGGGAAAAAAGGGGAGAAAAATACCTAGATTAGATTACAACAACAAAGAGACGGAAAAAATAGTTTCAACATCCAAACAAATTTAGTAAAGAAGATGTTTATCCATGTGATTTTTTTGTGAGGAGAATCAATGAAAAAGAAAAAGAGGTTATCTAATAAGAATCCACACACATGAAGCAAATAATGAGACTCCATTTGCATGACTTGCTCATATAGTAGTTGAATTTGATTGGAAACAATACTAACCTTGCTTAATCATAATTTCAGAACAAGGAATGAACTTCATTCAAATTCTGTTCGTGTGCAATGGCTGTTGAAAGATATTGGTGGCGATGGAGGATGATGACGCTGAATAGGGTTGTGGTAGGTTTCTTTCCATAAATATATGCTTTTAATTAGGATAATTTAATTAAGTAATTAATGGAATTATAATTACAGTATATAAATTGATTAATTTTCTTCTAAATAGTGATTGATCCAAAATTGGTCATACAATCACACAATATTTATAATTCATATATGAACCTAACTCTCTCTCTCTCTCTCTCTCTCTCTCTCTCTATATATATATATATATATATATATATATATATATATATATATAAGTTCATAAATAAGACACAATGTGGTTACCACCTTATAAAAAATAGCAATCAATTAATCGATTCTCTATTTCATTATGATCTTTAAATGGTTAATTATGTTCTAAAATTTTGTTATACGAAATGTTTGTCTAGATATATAAAAGTAATAATGTTTTAATTTGTCAAACATGGTTTATGTTTTTCATATATGAAAATTATATTACGAAAAATAGTACTAGCATCAACATGTTTTAAAATAAACTTCACGTATTATTTTAGTTTTTAAATAAATATGTAAAAAATAACGATTTATTTTGTTTAAGATTAATGTATATTTATATATGAATGGGAGATGATACAAGAACAATATATTCCGTATACTTTAAAGTATAACATGTTCCTGCTAAGAACACATAGAAATATGCGTTCTTAAATAAATCCCATTTTTAATGAATTTGTTAATATTTATTGCAACACACCATTCTTCTAAACCTTAAACCCCTAAATAATCGTACGAAACTAACCATCGAAAGAAACTATTTGGTACCGCTGCATCACTAATAGTCGGAAAAAAGAGGCAATCTTTCGAATATTATGCGGACATCATATTCATCCGAATTATGGTGTGAATGTATGGTTTTACGTTTAACCGTAAACATGAGGCTTTAGTTTGGTTGTCTAACTAATGATTTGGATGAGGCAAAAGCATTCAATGAGTGGATTCTTAAAATTGGTGAAGGGAATATTGGTGGCCCAAATGATGGTGAAGCTGGAGTTGAATTTCCAGAAGACGTTGTCGTTCGCTCTGTAAGTGACCATATTCATTAGTTGTATCCACCATTTAGCCATCCTTTGAAAACCATCTTGATGATCCATCATATTTTCAAGATAAACCTATTTATGAAAGATGAAGGGAAACAATATATGAGTTCGAATTCTTTACGTGAGACAGAGTTACTAGAGTTTTTTGAAGAATTAATTTACTCTTCAGTTGTGTTGAATGGTTTTAAGGCATCTAGAATTTCCAACCATAATCTTAACACTAATAATAGGTGTTCCATTCAAGTTACTTCATAATATCGACCAAACAAAAGGACTATGCAATGGTACTAGTTTACAGGTTCTTAGGGTTGGTAGACACGTCCTTGAAGCCTGAATCATATATACTAGACTCTTCAACGGGACTACTTATATACATTGCATGAATTTAAATCCATCTAATAAAAGAATCTCATTTCATTTTCAGCGAAGGAAATTCCCCACAGTTGTTTATTTTGCCATTAACAAAAGTCAGTGACAATAATTATCGAATGTTGGATTATACTTGCGTAGACCCGTCTTCACTCATTGTCAATTATATGTTTTTTGTTTCTTGCATCATAAGTGAAAAATGATTGAATGTACTCATCTATGACGAGGAAGATCGTCTAAATAATACAACAAAAAGTTTTGTCTACAACGTGGTCCTTCAACGATTATAGATAGATATTCAAGTGTTTCATTGTTTTTTTCCAGACATTTCAATGATACCAATAATGTTAAGTCTATATCTGTTACTTTATCTTCCTTTTTTTATAGTGTCAGCCAAGGTTCTAAAAAGCTCGTCATGGCTCCGCCATAGTACGCCATAACTCCAAGGGTTGTACCTACCACTAAACTTTACCAAAACGCCGCCTTAACTCATATATGAATATAAAATAGAAAAATAGCTGAAAATACATATAAAAATATTAATTATATACAAAATTGCCGCCTTACAAACGACATGGCTCGCCAAGGCTCAAAAAAACTTGAGACTTGACATTGCCGCCAAGTGACGCCTTACGTTATTTAGAACCTTGGTGTCAGCTTTTTTATACTTTTATATGTATATTTTTATATGTTTTCCCGCATTTTAGACGTGTCGTAATCTAGTTCGTTTATTAGAATAGGGATTCCACAACATTATCATCATTTAACCAAAAATTGTAATGTCATTATCTTCTAAAAGCTATTAATGATTCAATATAAACCTTATAATTGAACAAAAAATGTCATGTAATTCTTATAACACCATGCAACTATTTTTTAATTTTCTTTTGTGCATTTGCGAATCATTAATTTAATAAAAGTAAAAAGGTAAATTGGTTTTATTAGAATAACCTAAAGTCTTTATAAGCATCTGCCAAATTTCCTAAAAACAAATAACATAGCCAGAAGAGATTATTTTAATCCACTCGGTTCGTTCCAAATCCCACACAAGCAGCGGAAATTCTCACGAAACACAATTTTAGAAAAGAAGGTGATTAAGAAGAGAACGATGAGCAGGAAGAAGATGGTGAGTGCCATGAAAAATTCGAACGGAGAGTCGGAGGTGAAGGATGGTTTCGGCTATCCATCATTACCAACTCGGACCTCACCGAGGTTCAATTGTTTTTTGATTTTCCTTTTATAAATTAGTTTTAATTCGAAATGGACATTTCAAACTACAGCACTACTTAACTTTTGGGGCCACAAAATTATGGCGTGTTAGTGTGTATTGATTTAATCCGAATCTATGCCCTCATCAATAATTGAGACCTTTCTCCATATACCTTCACATCTCTGCTATAAACAATAATTGAAATTATTCTTTCTGCACACCCATTTTTCCCCATTTCTACTAATCTTCTCTGCCCTTTTCATAAACAATGGCTGAAATCGTTGTTTCTGCCTTCTTCTCAGTGGTCTTTGAAAAGCTTGCATCTGAAACCTTGAAGAAGATCGCTCGCTCCAAGGGAGTTGATTCTGAGCTCAAGAAATTGAAGAGGTCATTAGACCAGATCCAAGATCTGCTTAATGATGCTGCCCAAAAGGAAATAGCTAACAAAGCTGTTAAAAGATGGCTGAATGGTCTCCAACATCTGGCTTACGACATAGACGATCTACTTGATGATTTGTCAACAGAAGCTATGCGTCGTGAGTTAACCGAGGAACCTGGAGCCACCACCAGCATGGTAAGAAAGCTAATCCCAGCTTGTTGCACAAATTTCTCACTAAGTACTAGGATGGGTAGCAAGTTAGATGCTATTACCACCAAGTTACAAGAACTGGTTGAGGAAAAAGAAAATCTTGGTTTAAGTGTGAAAGATGAAAGCCCAAAACATATGAATAGAAGATTAGAGACCTCTTTGGTAGATGCATCTAGAATTATTGGACGCGAAGGTGAAAAGGATGCGTTGCTCCACAAGCTACTGGGGGATGAAGCATGTGATAAAAACTTTAGCATCGTGCCTATAGTTGGTATGGGTGGGGTGGGTAAGACCACTCTAGCTAGACTTTTGTACGACGAAATGCAAGGGAAGGATCACTTCGAACTCAAGGCATGGGTTTGTGTTTCTGATGAATTTGATATCTTCAATATAAGCAAAGTTATCTTTCAATCGATAGGCGGGGGAAACCAAGAATTTAAGGACTTAAATCTTCTCCAAGTAGCTTTAAAAGAGAAGATCTCGAAGAAAAGATTTCTTCTTGTTCTTGATGATGTGTGGAGTGAAAGCTATGCCGATTGGGAAATTCTAGAACGCCCATTTCTTGCGGGGGCACCTGGAAGTAAGATTATTATCACCACCAGGAAGCTGTCGTTGCTAACCCAACTGGGTTACAGTCAACCTTACAGTCTGTCAGTTTTGTCACATGAGAATGCAGTATCTTTATTCTGTCAACATGCATTCGGTGAAAATAACTTCGATTCACATCCAACACTTAAACCACATGGTGAAGGTATTGTCAAAAAATGTGATGGCTTGCCATTGGCTTTGATAGCGCTCGGGAGGTTATTGAGGACAAAAGCTGACGAGGAAGAATGGAAGGAGCTGCTTAATAGTGAGATATGGAGCTTAGGGAAGAGAGATGAGATTACTCCAGCTCTTAGGCTCAGCTACCATGATCTTTCTGCCAATTTGAAGCTGCTGTTTGCATACTGTTCCTTGTTCCCTAAGGACTACATGTTTGACATGGAGGAGTTGATTCTATTATGGATGGCGGAAGGGTTTTTGCATCAATCAAGTACAGGGAAATCAATGGAACGTATGGGTGTTGAATGTTTTGAAGACTTGTTGTCAAGGTCATTTTTCCAACAGGCGCCTAATAATAAATCGTTATTTATGATGCATGACCTGATGAATGACTTAGCCATGTCTGTTGCTGGAGAATTTTTTTCAAGGTTAGACATTGAGAAGAAGAAGGAAATTGGGAAGGATGATCCGGGTAAGTATCGCCATATGTCATTTGTTTGTGAGAAGTATATGGTTTACACAAAGTTCGAGGCATTCAAAGGAGCTAATACTTTGAGAACATTCTTAGCATTATCTTCTGAGCGAAACAGTTGGCAACAATTCCACTTATCGAATAAAATTCTGACAGACTTAGTTCGTGATTTACCATTATTAAGGGTCTTAAGTTTCAGTGAACTTAGCATAAGCGAGGTACCAGAATTCATTGGCAGTATGAAGCACTTGCGGTATCTTAATTTATCTAAAACTGAAATTACACATTTGCCTGATAATGTCTGTGACCTTTATAATTTACAGACATTGATTGTTTCTGGCTGTTATAGTTTGAAAAAGTTGCCTGAGAGCTTCATAAAGCTTAAGAATTTGCGGCATTTTGACATGAGGGATACTCCACTTTTGAAGAAGATGCCATTAGGGATTGGTGAGTTGAAAAGCCTACGGACTCTCTCTAAGATCGTTATTGAAGGAGACAATGGCTTTTCAATAACCAAGGTTAAAGATCTAAAGGATCTCCGAGGTAAAATTTCCTTTGAGGGGCTTGACAAAGTGCGAAACCCAATGCACGCACAGGAAGTGAACTTATCTCACAGGAAGCTAAGTGAGTTAGAGGTGGAATGGAGTGGTGTATTTGATAATTCTCGAGAGGAAACAGTTGAAAAGGAGGTCCTGAATGTGATGAAGCCTCATAATGATAATCTAAAACATCTCAGCATTGTGTCATATGGAGGTACAGAGTTTCCGAGTTGGGTTGGGGATCCCTCATTTCATCGGTTGGCTAAAGTGACATTAAAAGGTTGTAAAAAGTGTACATCTCTACCGCCACTTGGCCAGCTACCTTCACTTACAGAGTTGGTTATTGAAGGCATGGATGAGGTCAAAGTTGTGGGTTTGGAGTTTCTTGGGACTACCTGTCTTGCATTCCCATCACTTGAGATTCTATGTTTTGTAGATATGCAGGGGTGGAAGGTTTGGTCAACCAATAATGGTGGGGTTGTCGATACAGCATTTCCATGCCTTCAAGAGCTTCATATTAAAGGTTGTCCTAATTTGGTTAAAGTCTCAGTTGAAGCACTGCCTTCACTCAGGTCTCTAATAATAAGTGAGTGTGGCCATGAAGTGTTAGGAAGTCTGGTTCGTGCAGCTTCATCGATCACCAAGTTGAGTATAATATCTATTTCAGGACTTAATGATCGGGTGTGGGGAGGTGTTATAGAGCATCTTGGGGCAGCTGAAGAAGTAAGAATTGAAGAGTGTAATGAAATAAGATACTTGTGGGAATCAGAAGCAGAGGCAAGTGAGGTTCTTGTGAATTTAAGGACGTTGTTTGTAAATAATTGTTCAAATTTGGTGAGTTTAGGAGAGAAAGAGGAGGATAATTGTGGGAGCAACCTAACATCTCTTACAAGCTTGGAACTATATTATTGCAACAGCTTGGCGCATTGCAGCTGTCCAAATAGCCTTAAGTCACTTACCATCGAGAATTGTAATAAATTATTGGAAAAGGAGTTGGTAGAAGGGCGAGAGAAGCCTCTGATCAACTCAAACTTACTGATGCTTGAATATGTATCTATATTTAGTTGGCCAAATTTGAAATCAATCACCGAATTGAGTTCCTTCAATCGCCTCAGGCATCTCATGATAATCAACTGTCCAAATCTGGAGTTATTTCCTGACCACATGTTGCCGAAACTCAATGTGTTAACACATCTGACAATAATGCATTGTCAAAGTGTTGATGCTTCTTTTCCTTGTGGGCTTTGGCCTCCAAAATTGTGTTTACTTTGTATAGGGGGGCTGAAGAAGCCCATGTCAAAGTGGGGTCCACAGACTTTTCCAACCTCACTTGTGGACCTATATTTAAGAGGTGGAGAGTCGGAAGATGTGAGTAATTTCAGTCAGTTGTCCCATCTTCTTCCTTCATCTCTTACATCTCTTGACATAATTGGATTTGAGAAAGTGGAATCAGTTTCAATGGGACTCCAACACCTCACCTCCCTCCAGCATCTCTCAATTATTGAATGCCCTAAGGCAATAGATCTACCAGAAATGTTGCTGCCTTCACTTTTGAGTTTGGAAATAAGGGGATGCCCAAATCTGAAAGAAATGAGTAGTAAAAGAGGCTCCTACTGGCCCCGCATCTCACGTATTCCCTGCATTGACATATCCTGAGGAGTTAAAAACTTAATCTGAAGGTATGCTTCTCCCTCCGCTGATGATAAATGATAAATTATAAATATAATATTTAATTTTGCTTTCTTTCAACCAACAAAATGCCAATATTATATCCAGCATAAGCATGTATATAATAAAAGAAATTGTTTCCATGTATATATATATATATATATATATATATATATATATATATATATATCATCTTGCTTTCTGGAATTTGGCAGGCCACTTAATTGAGAACTTGGATTCACTTTCAGTGGGACTCCAACACCTCACTTCCCAAAAAAGATGATACAAAAAAAAAAAATGTAAGGCCATCCCTCTGCCATTGACTTCTTTTGGTTTATATAGACATAAATTTAATACTAACACATTTTGCTTGAACTATAAAAGCAGCCCCCTAGAGATTATTTATTATAAAAAATGAATTTGTGTCACAATATCAGGAAGTTCTTTTGTTAAAAAAAACATAATTTAGTTGTGAACATGGAAGGGATATGATGGATTGCAGAATATTAGAACTAAATGATTAAAAAGTTTAAGTACTTTAAAAAAACAGTAGGTTTGAAATTTCATTTGTGAAACAGGAATGATTTGTAATTTCTCTCTGAGGCAGGTCTGTCAATTGGATGAGAAACCAACTTTGACCCTTGTGAAGTTGTTGATGGGACTGATAACATCTGGTACACTTTTTAGTGTTATCAATTATTATCCACAGTAGTCTTATCATGTAGTTTTTCTGAGATTAAACCATTTCGTGTTTGTGGGGTGGAAATTGAAATGATGTGTATGAATATTTTAGTGTTAAAGAAGCTTTAATATCCTTAATCAAGGTGCTCCAAAGATTTCACTGGTAAATATGTCAAGACTTGTTTCAGACTATCATGCTAATTTTCTGGTTCTGAATATTGTTTAAACTTTCAATTGCAGACAAGTGTGAGCAGAAACGGATACATTCCTGATTTCTGCATATGAAACATTAGAAACTCATATACAACTTTCAAGGGTAGTCCAAATGTTTTGTTCACTGCCAGCAAGTTGTATATGAAATATTAGAAATTCATCTGAATGTGTAAATTAAGGGAAAATAAGTAAATAAAAGGGTTTTTATTATTTATATTTTATTTAACAGAATAGAAAGGAGAAACCATTTTTAGTTATTACCATTCATTTGCAAGAGTTTTTCAAATAAACTGAGTGAGTTGTATTTTCAATTTAACAGGGAAGGCGGACGAGTTTTGAGATGCTCTCTCTTTGCTTTTCTTTTAGTTTAGTTACATCATCGAGCTACCCTCATTATATTTATTTTAGTTACAACTTTTAGCTACTTGTTTTTTCACTTCACAAATTAATCTAAAGAGGGAACTAACCACGAATATACCCATGTTATTTGACGCATGAGATTTGGAATTTTCATAGCATGCTTGTTAATTGCCTACAAGGTTGGGTTGTTCATTTAACCAACTATAGTATTGTACTTTAAATTTTTATTTCTTATTAGGTCTCTATACTTTCAAAAGATACTATAATAACAATGCAATGAAAGTGCGTTACTTTTTGTACTGGGATGGTAATGCTATAATTGAACACAATTTTCAAAGTGCAATGTTGTAATATGACTATGGAGACAAAGAAAGAGAACCAACTTCGTATAACAGAGAAAACTTTATCCATCTGAAGTCAATGTGAACATTAAATCAATCATTGTTTAACAATCATGATAGAAGATGAATTGTAGAATAGATTAGAGGCAGTGAAAGAGAAAGTAGCATACAAAGAATAGTGGCTTCAATGGTGATCACCCTCACTAGAAAGCAATGAGGTTTGTTTTTGTATATGTTGAGATAAACACAAGTAGCTTCAATGCTATTATATTTACAATTTGTTAAGCAGTGTTCCACATTCCAAATTTTCAGAATCGATTTGGTCAATTAGATATGAATACAAACAGGCCCTTGCTTCACATTACTCTAACAAAGAACCTCCTTGAATGCTTAAGAACTAAAATAGGGTATGCAACTTAAATATTAATAGAAGATTAGAAATGAAACAAATGGCATGCTACCGATTTAGAGAATCCATCTCAACATCATTTCTAACATCATCCATTTCAAACAATAAGCTTTCATCAAGTGGAAAGTCATGAATTTTGAGATTCATTAGTCATTGTTGCAGATTGATCGACATGACTAATGTTATCACCCAAAGCGATCATTTTACCCAGAAAAAAAAAAGTAACAATTGGGTTAATATTCAAGAAATTGCTTAAATGTGGCAAATAGGGACATGTATACCCTATTGCATTTTCATGTTATTCTTGTTTCAATTCATAACTTCAGTCAAGCATTTTATCAAACACATAATGTGCATGTAAAGCTATCAAATAGAGGCTTGTTCAAACTGAATTATACGCAAATAAATTGAAACTGATTGTTGAAACATGGAAGGTATCAAGGTAATATCGAAAAAGGTTTTCGTGATATATAAAAGAAAACTTTAGTTGTCATGATGTCCATGAGGACAGAACGGGAATGCCACCAACCATGTATAATAGTACTTCAAACCTCTAAAATATGCGGGGTTAAATCCATCTTAACGTAATTTTTTTTTCTGGATAATAGTAAAAACATTTTTGTTTTTTATTCAAAATGATTTTCCTTCCGGTGGGGCTTAGGGCTTGAGAGGAAGAATGATAGAAGTAAATAGGGATACTTTTATTTCGATACTAGTTTATAACCCGTGAGAATTACGGTTATAAAATTAATTAAAATTTTATAATAAAAATTTATAATTATTAATCAATTATTTAAATAATTCATTTTAAATAAATTGTTAAGTAAGAGATATATCAAAATTTTAAAGTTTTTATAACTTCAAATTTAACATAAAATTTAAAAATATAAATTTGATATTTGAAATGAGTTGCCTAATAGATCTAAATGACACATGACATGATATTAATAAATAGTTGTATTAGAATGACATTTAACAAAAAAAGATTAAAACTATTCATTTAGTAGAATAGAGATTATGAATAAGATATAATGGATCAAGATAACAGGCCATAATACAAAGGTGTTACAAGAAGGTATAGCTGCCAAACTTGTAAATTCCAATTACATATACCTTTGAAAATATATCAATTGGAAATTCAAACTTATAGCTTGCATTTTGTTATCTTTTCTTTCTTCTCCCTTCTAATAAAGAAATCCTAGTTTTGCCAATTGTCCCTCTTCTAATGCCCATTTTGCCTCCATAACCACTTAAAATCCGGTTATATTAAAGTTTAAATTCAAAATACAATCTCCTATAATTACCATAGATCTTATCTATCAATATAATTCAAAATAATCATTTTTATCTAATGCAACATACTATAATTAAATCATGTAACTAAATATGAATAATATGAATCCCAAAAAATCAGGTTTTACATTAGTATTTTACCTTTTAACATAAAAATGTGTTTTCACTCTAATTTCATAAATCTCCATTGTTCGTTTTCTATACTTCTGAGTATTTTGGCTTTTTTCACATCATCCACCACTGGAAACACAAAAACAAGCAATAAATAACATCTGGTTACAATAGACAACAAAGTCTTCTATCCCTTCAGGGAAGGATAGTATTGGTGCGGTGTACAAGGTTCGCTTAAGCGTTTGGAATGCTCTCTCTTGTCTCTCTTCCCAGTCAAAGGCCACGCCTTTCTGGGTCAATGTCGTAAGAGGTTTCGCTATACGGGAGAAGTTCTGAATGAACCTACGATAGTAGCCAACGAGACCTAGAAATTGACGAATTTTTGTAGGTGTCTTCGGTGCTGACCAGTTCTCAATGGCCTTGATTTTGGAAGGGTCCACGTGTATTCCCTCTTCGCTAACAACGTGGCCCAAGAATTCGACTCTTCGAATCCAAAATTCACACTTAGAGAACTTCACATAGAGCTTCTCCGATCGTAATGTTTCCAAGACTCCGCGGAGATGTTGACTATGTTTCTCCTTACTTCGAGAGTAGATGAGTATGTTATCAATGAAGACGATGAAGAACTGATCCAAGTAAGGATGATGCACCCTATTCATCAGATCCATGAATACGGCGAACGCGTTAATTAATCCGAATGGAATTACTACAAACTCGTAGTATCCATAACGAGTTCTGAAGGCTATCTTGGGAACATCCTCCTCTAGCACTCGTAGTTGGTGATATCCGGGTCGTAGATCTATATTTGAGAAGTAGTTGGCTCCTTGAAGCTGATCAAATAAGTCGTCAATGCGGGGTAAGGGATAACAATTTTTTATGGTAAGTTTGTTGAGTTCCCTGTAGTCGATGCACATGCGAAATGATCCGTCTTTCTTCTTGACGAACAAGACCATTGCTACCCATGGTGAGAAGCTCGGCCTAATGAATCCCTTCTTGAGAAGTTCGTTAAGCTGACTGGAAAGTTCCTGCATCTCTGCCGGTGCCAGATGGTAAGGAGATTTGGCTACGGGAGTAGCCCCTAGCACTAAGTCGATTCTGAACTCGACTTGGCGTTGTGGTGGTAATCCTGGGAGTTCCTCTGGAAAGATTTCGGGAAAGTCGCGTACCTCTGGGATGTTCTAAATGTCTTTTACTTCTTGACTCGTATCGACGATGTGTGCGAGGAATGCATGATATTCCTTTCGTAAGCACTTCTGAGCTTGGATGCATGAAATGATGTGAAGGATCGTACTAGGTTTGTCGCCATATATAATTAAGGTTTCGCTGTTAGGAAGGTTAAGACGAACTGCTTTTTCAAAGCACATGATGTCGATGCAAAGAAGACTCAACCAATCCATGCCGATAATAATGTCGAAACATTTAATTGGGACCGGCATGAGGTCTATCTTGAAAGTATGGCCATCTAAAGTTAGGGTACAACCTAAGTATATGCAGTTAGTACTTTCTGTTTTCCCATTTTCCATTTCTATCATGAATGATTTATCTAATGCACGTGGTTTTTGTTTAATTAGGTGTGCAAATTTATGGCTTACAAAACTTTTCTTTACTCCACTGTCGAAAAGTATGCAAGCATATGAGTTATCGAGGAGAAACGTACTAGTAGCTATCGTAGGATCAGCTACGACTTCCTCGTGGCCTATGGCCAAAACTCTTCCTACTCCACCAGCCATCACTGCCTTAGGACAGTTCCTTTTGTAGTGGCCTACCTCGCTACAACCGTAGCAAGCTTGGCCCACACCTGCGTTAGGAACTTGGGCGGTTGGCCTTGCTGGAATTTTGCAGAAACAGGTTGTATGCCCCTTTCTATTGCAGTTAGTGCACTGCATTTTCTTGCAAGGTCCGTGGTGATGGAAGTTGCATTTGTTGCACCTTGGAAGATTTCTAGCATAAGTTTTTGTTGGTAAGGGGTTTGCAGGGACAACAGGGGTTACCGTGGCAAAATTGATCGCCACAAGTTGTTGTCTCTTTGAGGATTCTTGCGAAGCCCCGCTTTTCCTCTTATTCCACACCTTTTTCTTCTTCTTGTTGTTGTTGTCCTTTTGTGGCCCAAGTGTAGGGATTGTTGGGTTCTGGTGTTTTCCGTGATCTATCAGAAATTGTGCTAGCTCTTTGGCGCTGTCGAAAGTAGTAGGCTTGGATGCTAACACACTTGAATGGATCTGGGGCGACAATCCCCAAATATATCTCTCTATTCTTTTGCTCTCCAGAGCAACCATGTCAGGGCATAGAATTGCCAGATCATAGAATCTTTTAGTATAGGTTGATATGTCGGAACCAACCATTTCCAGACCCTAGAGTTCCTGCTCGAGTTTTTGAATTTCCCCTTGAGGATAGTACTCTCTCATCAGTATGGCCTTCTAGTTTTCCCAGCTGATAGAATTTTCCACCACAATAGTCAGAGACTTAACATGGCCATTCCACCAAGTTAACGCTGTGTCAAAAAGGTACAAGTAGCAAACTTGACCTTGTTGCCCCCCGATCAGGCGCAGATCTCAAAGACTACTTCTGTTTTTTCAATCCACTGCCTTAAGACCATAACCCCACCAGTTCCATTGAAGTTTCGGGGTTTGGCATTCGTAAAATCCTTGTAGGTGCATTCCCAGGGATGCCCATGGCTCTTGCCATGGTGAGAAGGAGGTGCACCCGTTCTCGATCCACTAGGGACATGAGTATTAATGGCTGACACGACAGCAACTACGACCACTATGAAAGTTGCCTGGAACATAGCAACGTTAAAATGAGGAGGTGGTTTAGGTGGTGGTATTGGTGTTTCGTTAACATTGTTACGCCTTGTACGTCTGTGAGGCAACATCTTTTAACTATACGTTTAAAAGAGATGACAACACAGTAAGAATGAATGAATAATGAGAGTGACTTGTGGACTAACTCTCCATAGTCCAACAAC